CGGTGCTTTGAGGCTTCTCGTCGTAGTAGTAGTAGTAGTCGTAGTCGTCGATGTCGCTTGCTGGGTCCTCAATGCCGCCTCAGGCCTGAAGCGTCGAGGGCCACTGCGATGGACAGGGGCTACAGTACTATGGTACTACCAAGCAGCACGGATCAGCCCCTGGTCAGAAGACTTGGCTGCCCTTTTGAAGATCCCCTGGTGCACATCTTTGGCATGGGGTGGACATACCGGAGCCTATGATGGGCTCTAAAACTGCGTGCATGCTCGGATGGCTCTGCCGATGTCAGGATGGTATTGGCTATCCTATGCGATGCTGTTGTGCAACAGGCAGAACAGCCAGCCAGCGTCATATACTATGGCATCTTGGCGGGGCTACTGACGGCTAACAGAAGATGTGCACCAGGGGAGCTTGGGGGAAAAGGACAGAGGACAGCCAGGGCCGACGTAGAATGACTGGTGATCGATGTGTATGAGTGAGTGCGACTTGCGCAAGGCACTTCTTTCTTTGCTTTATTACCCCAGTGCCTGCCTGTCCCTCTGGGCACTGGGGGGGACTGGAGGCTGCTGACAACCGCCACCCCGGCACTCGCAAAGAAAGGTCAGCAACCCCAAAGGTGCCGGCCGAGATTATGAGAGAACACTGTAATCTGCTATGGCATCTGTCGTCCCTTCACCGTTACAGTGGTCCGCGGACGGGAACAAAGCGGCTAGGTAGACTGTCTGAATGAGCGAGCGACACATTGGGCTGGTAGGTAGCAGGCAGGCAGGCAGGCGGACGGACTTTGCAACTCTGCGCCTGACACTGTGACCGTCAGCCAGGGTGATGAATGTTCGAAGTTCGGGTTTCGGGCGGAGATCTGTCATCTCGGGTACCACTTACAGCAACCAGCTAATTGCTGGGTATCATCGGCGCTCCAGACATGCCCGGGTCGGCCTGTGGGCTACCTACGGAAAGACTGTCTTGAATTCGAGAAGATTGGCAGATTGGCGTGGATGAGCCTCAATTGCGGAGTACTGTAGGTCCCTGCTGCTGTCTTTTTGTCCTTGGTTCGTCGTCTTGGCAGCTTGGGTAGGCCCAAAAGGCTGGCAGAAAATAGAAATATTTCCATCACAAGCTCAAAGAAAGGAGGGAAAATGCACTGCAGTGGGACCCTGAACTGACGTCCATTTGATTTTACATTAATGTTCTTTTTTTATTTTTCCTCTTTTCTTTTGCCGCACTGCATCATTTGTTCTTTCCTCCCCAATGATCCCTCTGTACATGTAGAACCCCAGAGATTAATGTACCATGGCGCTAGAAACGGCAGCGAGTTGTTACATGCCCAAGTACATCTGTGCTGATCCACTCGCGGAATAGCACTCAGAGCACTCAAGTTGCAGTAGGCATGTACATTGGTACCTTTCCACCTACAGTGGTCCCGTTCGTTTGACATTGCCGCAGCTTTCACAGTACGATCATTTTTCTGCTTGGCCATGGACTCCTCTAGCTGGACAAGAGTCTTTTGTGTTGACAAAGGATTTGGTAAGTGAATCTGTCTTGGTTCCCCTTCATGCCAGACCTTCTCTGTCTCTCTTTCTACCACTTCCCCTTTGCCGTTGAGTCGCGTGGTGGAAGCTGCCACAAAGCTTGTGTGGGTCCACCCAGTCCCGCGAGCCGCGCGACGCGTCTTTAGGTGGGCGGACACGATACCTTACACAGACGATGTGATCCTACCCATCAATGCGAGCAATTACTCATCATGGGCACTCTCGAGAGTATACGACACTGCCGTCAGGTATGTAGAGGTTAGTTCTGGATGGCTCACCAGTTGGCAGTCAGAATTATATGTTTATATGCATGTAAGAGTATATGCAGCCTCAGGGTAAGCATCAATGCTGGTATCGTCCGTCGCCCCCCATTCCGCCACTCCGCACTTGCACTGGAAGCACTCGACCAGGTCTGTCAAGTGTCCACTTGGTTTACAAGACAAGCCAGATAGGCGTCAACACAGAGAGACGGACGGACAGACAGACAGACAGACAGACAGAAAGATTTGATGGGCAGACACACTCGAGCAGGGCACCCCTGAATGCCTTCATTCTTGGTTCCAAGCATCCCGGCTGGGCTGCTTGCATGCCTCGATCGACACCGAGTACATAGTACATGCTGCAACATGCACACTTCCAGGTTGTGTATCCAAAGTACTTTTTCACTCTGCCTTGTACGACCTTGGGTTGGTTGGGATCCAGTCAATCAGTGGACACCCCCCGCCAAGCAGACCATCGAGCGAGGGGGGCAGGCAACTCTTTGCTAACACCCACGTCCTAACTGGGCGATCAAGTAGTAGTATTCGTGATCTCTTTTCACCACTGTGCAGTGAATCGAATGCATGCATGTAGGTAAGGTGGGTGGATAGCTAGATACCTGGGCAAGTAGTACTACGCTACGAGTACATAGTGTACTGGGTTAAGGTATTTACCCCAGTCTCCATTCTAGTAGAGAATGACTGCTAACCGGCATGCAAGGTACCTAACTTACTCGGCCGGAAGGCTGTCAATTGATTGCCAACTTCTCTTTGTCTCCTCAAGGGCCATGTCAGGATTCGTCTTATATCTGGTTCTATCAAGCTTTTCTGGGCGTCATTTGATCTTGTCCCTGTCTGCCACACTGCTTAATGCGCAGTACCTAGGTGAGTGCACGCCTTGCTGGTATGATTCTTCATCTCGTTACCGTGATATTGTGCTATATATTACAAATCCATGACAATGGCCAAGTTTGGTTAATATATCCCAACATTAAATTCATTACCTTTTATCCTAGCATGTCATCTGACTTCCCTGATCGCCACTACCCGAAGAGCTTCCTGGCGCTAATCGTTACAGCAAGAGCACGGCATTGTCCCATGCTTTGAAGGCCGGACTATGACACATTGATCTGCCGACTGGAAACCCGGTAGAATAACTTCTCTCCTAGCCTCAAGGGGTCAAACCGGCTATGCAAGTAGACAGCTAGGGTGATGTGACAACGGCCCTCAGCCCTGTCGAACAGCACTTGCACCTTCACGGCTCACAAAGAACTTTTCATAATCAGACGATAAAGTAGGATCCAGGGAGAGCCCTGCGTAGGTACCTACACCGCAGCTGCTGTGCCTACAGGAAATACAGCTTGATTTCAATGGCAGAATATAATTACTGATCGCAGAAGATCCACATCCGAATTTGGTATTTCACTGACAAATAGAAGCTCCGAGATGTCTTCGTGCTGTGGAAGGAAAAGAAGACCGCTAGTACCGACATCAGTCCACACGGGAAACCTATTCCAACACGCAAACTCCGCAGAAAGCCAGCAATTTTTTATTTTTATTTTATTTTTCCCTTTGTCTTCCTCACTGTTTTGCTGAAGGTCAATTAACCTTGATGAAGTTTTCATCTAATGGCTGCGAATTTCCCCTCCCACTCTGCCTTGATTCTAGACGTGAACCACAAGTGCGCTCGGTAGGCGCTCCTTGGGTGATGTCGATTTAGGATCACCATGCTACCTTGTCATTTTCTGGGGAATAACCAGAGGGGGATCATGACCATCCAATAAGCCTGGAGGGCAAAAGAGCAATCAATCATGTTCCTGCCCTAAGCTTATGGCGGATGAAGTACCGCGACTCACTCTTACCGGAACCAAAGAATAACGGCTCCTGTCATAATCCCTTCCTCTCCACATAATGTTCGGACCCTGGCCTTGTCTGTTAACCTCGATCTATCTGGTGCAGACCTGAGCCCCATTTGCTCATGTACAGTGTGGGCGGACCAAGTACTCGACCGTGTCTACCTTTGAGCCAGATACTTGTCGGGGTTACTCGAGTCGTAGTCGTCTCCGGCACATGAACTGAGCATGGCCAGTGTCCTATTAGCGCTGTAACACCCCTGGCAACACAGTACTGAACTACGAACAGGCCCATCCTTATATGAACTCCCCTCATGCAGTACCAGCCACACCCACATCATCCAATATTATTTTTACTGTCTACCTCACCAATCGTCGCCTCCATCATTCTCATTTGCTTGATAATACCCTTTCAGATAAATTCGCCGCCCCGACCCTCCATTCTTTGTCCTCCTTAAGTTTGCGGCCTCCCGGCGCCAGTCAAATGCTAATATTTGGAACAATACTGACAACCAACTACTTCTACTCACTCTGTTGATAAACATACCTAACGAGGCTACCGCAGCGGTTTCCGGAACTTTGCGGATCGGTTGCAACTTGCGATTTTTGTGATATCGTCAACGCATAGCTAAAGAAAACAAGACGATCTAGGTGCTGGATATATCGTGGTCTCAAGATCGATACGGAAGCAACCCTCTTCAGCGATGCGATCTGGAACTTGGCTATCATAATTGTTATCGGAACTCGAAGGCGCTTGGCATTAATTTGTATCGATAAGCGCAACCTGGATACCATTGTGCGCAAGAAATACCGACTAGATCAAGTCTCTTGCCTGCCCAAGCGATCCAGTCAAGCTGCCATTACTACTAGCTTCCTAGAGGCGAGCAGCGCCAGTCGCGAAGCATATTCATAACGATCAAAACTCTGGGGAAGACTCTATTGAAGGGCGCTCCTAATATCGCATGTCGAACGCTGTCATCTAATTTATCTCTCCCGAGCTTGCTTTCGCTACATAGCCGCGCTTCACGGCATATACGCCTGGAGCCTCCAGCGAGAAGGAAACCAAGGAAGGACCAAGACCGACACCCTTACCGTTCTCGAAGTCAGCCATTTCCCATTCTTTTCGCGAAAAGATACACCAATAATTTTGACGAAAAAGAGGTCCATGTCGAAGTTGGTCTATTCCAGACAGGCACGGAAGGGAGGAACCTCTCGCGGAGAATAACGGATCACCACGTCTACTGTCCTTCCAGGATAATTCTGATTCGAGTGCAACAAAGCGGACACCCAGCACTCAATAACAGCCTGCGCCGGCACCAAGAACGATTCTGGAGAGCGGTCAGCACACGGCACTTCCTAGACCATGGCATACTATGACGAGCCTGTACCGTTGGGATGGCCTGGCGCCCCCGTTCCCAGCCCGTCCCATCAGCGCGATCCGTAAGTTACTTTTGGTAGGCACCGTATTGCAATTGCTAATCTTTGCCAATAATTCTAGCCCATTCCAACTCAATGTCTTACAGCACCCCAGAGAGGGCAAAGCAGCAACAGCTAAAGATAAAGGTGAGTGGATCTAGATCCTTGCCAACCTATTGGACTGTTGATTTGCAAGCTACTAACACGAAAGTATAGATCGCAAGCCACTTGATCCTCCACCGATTGTACAACTACAACTTGTTGCCGACCCCACTCCAAATGCCCGATACCGTGGTCTTCTCAGTGAGTACCTATCACAAGTTGTGAATGCGACAAAGTAGCTGATTCTTTGGAAGCGCCAGACTTTCCTTGGACCATGTGCATAGCGCGACTGGAGGATGCCGAAGAGGACAGCACAGGAGGGCGAACAAACCGCCAAAATGCGTCATCAGCTTCGTCATCTCTCATTGGCAACATAGCTTCCTCTGTACATAAGGCGAAAATCGGTGATGATGACGACAAGAGAGAAGTTGGAGTCCTGGTTTTTCCAAATTTGTCTGTGAGGAGCAAGGGCAGATACCGACTGCACTTCACCGCTTACATCATGGAAACCTCGCCGGATGGAAGTAAAGAGGAGTGGGTAGCCGTGGCACAAACCAGGTCAGACATATTCAGCGTCCTCGAAGGTCGAGCCTATCCGGGGCTGGCAGAGTCAACATCATTGACAAGAACATTGGCGGACCAAGGAATCAAATTGCGCTTACACAGAGAGTCGGCTGCACGGAGAACCAAAAACCACAATCATGCTTTTGCAGAGTCACACGATTCAAGAGGTAATGTGGGAGGGAAAAGGCAGCGCATTTCGGGAGATGCGTCAACGACGATGTCTGGTGCCCGCAGCAGACAGCCGACCGTTCCGAATCAGTATCATCGTGAGCCATCATTAGGGCAGACCCAGACGGCGAGCAACACCATGGGAATGGGGCAGCCCATATTGACGAGCCAGTCTACAGCATCTTTCAATTACGCGCCAACCTCGATGGCACAGGCCGAAACCTTGTTCACCTCGCATTACCCATACCACAGCATGGCAGGCCAGAGTACGACAGGTCAGAGCATGGCAGGTCAAGGCATCGTACCGAGCCAGAGCTCTGCCCTTGAATACCTGTATGGCGGACCCAGGTTTGATAGCCCGGAGATGGTAGCTTCACAGATGACGCCTGCAAGCCTCCCGAGCCTGCCACAGTTTGGACAAAATATCCCGGCCGATCTCCAGTTTGACCCATCAAGGTTCAAGTTCAATCAGTAGGAAAGGGGAGATCAGCAGCAGTACTAGAAGAATGGCCAGCCCTGTTGAATAGGATCTTCACATCACTTGTTTATTTTTCCTTTTGTTTGTTCCATCGTCCTTTTGTTTGCCTGTTAGCATTAGACCACCGATATCCATCATACCCGACAGCGCTTCCTTTTGTCATTTGATTTTCCGCATGGGAGTTGGCGGATTGAGGCTTTGGTTCAATGGATACAGAACATGTCCCCAGGCAGCAAGGGGAATCATCTAAAACGGATGGGTTGAGGTTATTTAGAGGGGAGGCGGTCATTGTCTCACAGACCAGGTCGGAAAATATATCGTAATCATAAGGCCCTCACGAAATGGAATGGATCAAATCAATGGCATTCCCATGGGCTCACACATAGTATAATAGAAATAAAAAGTCCCACGAAGAAATTTTATGATCATGGGAAGACTCATGGTGTCGGCTGAAGTATCTCGTAGTTACCTGGTAGGTCTTACGAGGTGCCCTGTGTATACTTCAGATGGGGGAATCCACATGTCTCACTAGACTGTGCTTCAGTCATCTTTGGCCTGTTCAATTATAGACTGGGGTTTTGGCTAAGGATTCGCACAGGGAAATATTTAAGCATAAAACTCTTCCCTCGTAGCTATAAACAAACTATATGTCTTGGATCGAGAGAATACTATGGCGCTATGTACGATAAAAGTCGCACCAGTGTTGGTGGGACAGGCACTCGCTGATGTCCTCGCAGCTCTGCGTGCAGTGGAGGAGGAGTGAGTGTATATGCCATATCCAAAGTGACTGGCTGTGCTGCTCTGTCCTACATGCTGCAGCTTCACGAAAGGACGCTGTCCAACCTTCAACGCAAGCGGCGGTACTCAAGATGGCAGGCGCATGGCAGGTTTGTTCAGGGAACGCTTGCAGTCGGCTCCCCGATTGGCGGCCCGTACCCTCCCCGGATGGATGAACCAGACCAGCAAGCTCTTTTATGCGCCCAGCGCCTCATTCGTCAAGAGCTTTGGTGACAGGCGAATGAAGCATGCTCCCCCCCTACGGAAAACGGCGCCTTTTCTGGAGCAGCGGTATCTGTCAGTACATCGGCTGCCGGGCAATCATGAGGACAGATAGTACAGCAGACTTCCGCGAGCCTACACTACCCATTGTGGAGAGAGATCACGAAGAGAGAGAAAATCTACGGAGTACCTAACCTGACCTAACGACTTTGCCTGCACTGATTTTCCCCAAACCCAACGCCCCCACCCAATACCCAAACATGTTGTCAACGTGGGTTTGACCCTGGTTGTGAGAGGGGTGGGAAACCGAACCGTGCTTGGCAGATCAAATCCTGACCGGGTAGCAAGAAAAGCCAATATGGGGGGAAGCTGCGGAAAGTTTTCCCCAGAGCGCAGAAACACCGTTACATGTCTTGAAGTAGCCTCCTGGATGGAAAATCTCCCGACGGCCTAGAGCATATATTGGGCCATCTGGCTTTGACTTGTAGTCGGAGTCCCCCATTGCTCGAGTGCGGTGGATGATGAACCTCTCAATCCAGACTGAACAATCTAGCATCGTAACCAGCCAAGATATTTCACCACGATGATTGGTTTGCATTGATATTAAGCAGTGTCTGGTTTGGGACTCGAAGGCACTAGATCCGGCCGCCGACTCGCAGCGGTACTCGCTTCCAGCACATCCGTAGATGACTCGGCATTGCCATTTTCACCACTTTCAATGTTACCGAGAGCATCTTATTTAGGTTGAACTATTGATATTCATACTAAGATTGGTATTGCGACGGGCATTGATGCTTCCGAGGTCTGGGGAGCTCACTTCTTGTTGAGTTTTCCCATTTTCTTTTCGTGGCAGGTTGTCACTACTGCGAGGGCGGCCAGAAGACTTCTCTAGGGACTTGAAGATGATATCAAACGTCGGTTTGTGGTATTGTATTGAATTCACGGCGATTTCAAGTTGGTCTATAGGCATAGTTATAATCGTATTTGATACTTTGCGATGTCTTGTTTTGTACAGCTCTCGCCTTACCACCTGGCAACTGTTTCAATTTCGCACGCACTCTAGAAACACCACTCAATCATTCATCCATTTCTAAAAACAGGTTCAAATCTTTTCTCGTTGTTACTGCAATCATAATACGAGTTCATTGAGACTTGTTCCTTGTCTAGAACAATTAGGCTCGTTCAAATGCTCGGGCTGACATATAGATGACTACAATGCACTGCCGACCAACAACGCGCACAGCCAGGAATCTATTTCGCACTGTTCCTTCTGAACATGATCATTGACTGTGCTCAAAAGAGGACACTACTCAAGTGGGCAATGTAACATGGCCGTCCAATTAGCTCGCACTGACCAGGTATGCGATATCTGGTAGCTCAACGGGCAGCCTGCCTTGTCGCATGTCGGGTGACGCTTTTACTTCTTCCAGAGCCACGAAAAAAAAAGAATTCTCCATTCACTCTAGTCGCACAAGACTACTGCTCAAAACCTGGTGAAAATCAACTCGCTTGTAGGCATCCATATCAAGCATTCCGCAGAGGGGCGATACCAAAGATGGACAGGGGTCCTGTCCGGGTCCTAGTACTCAAAGGGGAGAGAGGACGATCCTCTTTTTTCTTGTGCTATAAGCCAGGGGTTGGAGCTTTCCGCGAGCCGCCGTTACATGGCGCAAATTCGCTACCATTGAATAAATGACGACAAGACCCAATCAAGGCCACAGAATCTCGCTTCGCTCCTGTCATCTGGTCCTAAAGTCTGGAGGGCTTTCGCGCTTTTTTCTGTTCTTTTCTCCTAATGTCCCAAAGCGGTAGTGCACTTGCAGGAACCTGAAGGGAAAAAAAGAATTGTTGGCACTCACATCCACCCCGGCATTCTCTTTTTCATCAGACGATGGGTCACTCACTACCTTGACCCAACCTGGTGCTTGTCCTTGATAGAAGTACTATAGTACATGAAGACATGGTTTGATGGATACCATGATTCACTCCCGGTCGGGAACCGTCGATCATGTATGTAGCAGCCTTGTCACCATGGGCAAAGTATCTACTCTCTCGACATGCAGATGCTGGGGTATTTCGGAATGTTACCGATGTTATCCTCCCTTACCATGGCTAAATAGATACCTTTAACATGTAGAAGCTCTGCCATCCAGCTACTTTTATTTCTTCTGATCCAAGAACGGCCGATCCTGCATCCTGCGATCGAGGCCATTTCCCTGGGAATTGTCGGCCGAGACACCTATGCCCCGACATCTTGCATCTGCGTGAATTAGTTTTCATCTCCAAAGCCGCAACGTCGGGAAATTTGCGAGTACAGACCTGGTGATTTTTGTGAAAGACATAGAACGACCCATCATGATCCGGAAAGTGGCGTGTCGCCGGTTCCGAAGAACATCAAATCTCGGCTGCGACTCCATGTCGCATTTTGAAAGACAGGGAATTTTTGACCAGATTCTAGCTACACGCAGGCATGTGGGTAACCATTTTGATGGCCATACTTTATGGCCCGAAACTCAGATCTCTTCGGAGCATTTCTGAATTGTGACAATATAGTGCAGGTATCTATAAAAGATGCGTCTCTTGTTGGCGCCCACGTGCTTTTGTCTCAAGAATAGAGTAGACCGAAACCGCTTCAGTCCGCGAGAAGCACGCATGCATGAGCAGATAGGTACCTAGTGGGCAACGGCTTTCAACGGTTGTGATCAAATCTCGTCCGAGGAGAAAAGAAAGAAAAACATACATACTTAGGCGCAAGCGAGCCCGAAAAAGCCGTGGTACACTGCTGGATACGTACGTACGTACGTATGTTTGCGCGTGATAGATATTAGAGACTGCGTCAAGCGCGGTTCTCACCACACCCCCCACCGGTACCCAAAGGTCGCAAAGGTCGGTGTGACATTGTCAATCTTTGCGGCAAGTCAAATACCACGCAAAAATCGCCCCTCCCCTGGCCTGATCTTTGGTACTTGTCAGATCAGATGAAAAGGGAAACTGATGAAACGTACTTTGGTGCCCCAGGTAATCGAGCACTCAAGTCAAGGCCAGAAGAGCGAGATACTGCCTATAAAGAGCGGTGAGTAGGATCAAGCACTGAGCGCAAATGCTTGGACCAAATCTTGCCATGCCGCAAAAGGGTATACCTAGATAGTATTCCTGAAAAGGAACGTGCTGACGCTACGGAGAAATAAAGATAACGTTCTCTGTGAAGAAGGGATCAAGGGCCCTTAGTAGACGGGACTGCGGCTTTAGGTTCCAGCGCCTCACAGTAGGTCGACTTGGTTCTTGTGCCGCTACGGCGCGATCCCCGTTTGGTGTTTTGTGGAACTCGATGCGACCGTATGTCGGTTGCCCCATGCCCAATTCTGGTCGCCAAAGTTCAAAGAGGGTGTCCCTTTTTGGAAATTGATCATGTACAGCTGCCGGAAAAAGCTTCAACTAGAGATGTATTGGCGTTGATACCCAAGCAGGCGCGGAAAAAAGAAAAACTGGGCGGTGATGAACAAGCTACCAGCAGCAGCGGCTAGTTCTAGGTAGGGACCATTACAGAACTCTGCTATACCCAGATGCTACGGTTGACACCGGTGTGGCTTTAGAAATCTCCGACGCCAAGGTGAACATGCATACCAACAAAATGATCAGTTTCCCGTCTCGCGAGAGCAGACAAGCGTCTAGAGCCATAGGGTTATCTGGGCATCACACAATTGGCCGTACCTTTTCCACTCTCGTCATTCAACTAGGTACCTACCTAGTGTTGGACCCAAGAGAGAAGTTTGGCTCTCGCATTTGCACCCATCGTATGTCCAAACCGATGTTGCCCAGCGACCTGTTCTGTTCTCAACGAGGATAAAAGTTTCAGCAGCATACCGGAGCCTTGAGCTTTAATTGAAACGCACCCTAAAGTGTGTGAAGTAGATATTGTTGGCAAATGTATCAGTCTCAGTGCATGAAATGTACGAGGATATAATCACACCACAAAAGCACATGTGGCTACATTTCACCCAAGTAAAGGTGCAGCCCTCAACCAATGCAGCCTGATTGAGTTAATCTATGTATCATACACGTGGCAAGCAAGACGCCTGAAGACTGTTGGCATACTATAGCTGCAAGGACCTGTTCTATCAGTGCCCCTAGTCAGGCTATAGCATTGTCATTTCACTGTGGCGCAGATCAACCTGACTGTTGTCATGCATCATGATAATTGATTCATAATTTCAAATCTATCAAGTGTCTCCGCGCAAGCAGTCTCAATCGCTTGCGACTCAAGTCCTTCTATGACGGCTGCGCAGGGAGAAAGCCAGCCCCGCGATACCTCTATGTCTATGCGGATGATTCTGCAGGCCAAGTCAAACCAAGTCTATCCATGCAAGCCTCTCTATTGAAATATCTTTCAGGCGACGGACAAGGTGGCAGCAATCTATGATTGCCGCACCTTGACATACTTGGTGTGGGTGCCGCTGGCGATAATAGGACTAGGCTCGCCGTCTACTAGCTTGGAGATGACGACCTTGGTAAAGGCCACGGAGCCGCCCACCTTTTCGGCGGTGCCTTCAATCTCAATCTCGTCGCCCTCGCCGGCCGACGAGAGGTAGCGCACGTGAATGTCGACCGAGACGCCCGTCTTGTCCCGCAGGTCCCAGGTGGCAATGGCCATGCCGCCGGCCCAGTCGACAATGGTGGCCGACACGCTGCCGTGGATGCCGCCGCCCGAGTTGATGTGGTTCTTGGTCAGCCGCAGCCGCGCCTTGACGTTGCCCTGCGTCGCGGCGTGGATCCGGACATCGGACAGGAGAAAGTTGTAAATGGGAGAGCGGGGTAGGCTCTTGGCCACCAAGCCCTCGATGTGGGCTTTGATCGTGTTGTCGTCGACCGTCATGATGTCTTATTTTCCTCTCCGGGAACCGAATGATTGGCGTGTTTGCGTTCTTGTCAACGATTGATTTCAGGGACCAATCCAGAGGCGTTTTTGTTCGACAGAACACATAAATGTACAAATCATGACCATTTCCCATTTGTTGAGCATTAAACCGCGTACAACTCTGTCCGTCAGATTGCATGAGCTGCAGCTGCAAGCAACTGTCGCATCCACCATTGTTCATGGCCGCAAACAGGTCAAGATTTCTTACGCGCAGCACTGAACACACAATCAATAACCTACCAAGAACTAACCTAGTGCAATCGATGCCAACAAAATGAAATCCCTTCCTTACCTTCATCTTTCGGCTGTTCCTAGAAGGGAACGAAAAGCCAAAAGAAAAAAAGAGAAAAAGAAGGGTCTTGCCGTGGATCGAACACGGGGCCTCGCGCAAACAATGTTCAGGGTGTTCCCTAAGCGCGAATCATACCACTAGACCACAAGACCTGTTGATTTGTTGAAGATTTGCTTCTTATCATGAATCAATACTGTGTGGATATAGCCCGGGGATATCGTGTGGTGTTGTTGGCCCGAAGCGAGGGTGGGGACGGCGGCCAGCAGAGACGAGTCCAGCGTTCAAAGGCTAGCTAGTTGCGAGACGGGGATTCGAATAATGTGGTCGTCAAAAGTTCCTACTCGGGCGGATAATCTCTTGGATATCTCTATCGAGGAAATGGAAATTTGAAAAAACTGCAAGACGCTGCAATGGTGAATCGCCTATGAACAAGAACTGTATTGGACAGTCAACAGCGCCAGCGTGAATAGCCTGGACCCATTAGCCCAGGTACCTGGTTCTACGAAATACAAACTGTGCCAATTGAATCTAAAGATATCCAGCACGTGCGATCACGCATACCCTATCAACGGACCATAGCTCTAGTCAGGAACATGTTCTGAGCGAAAATAGTGCAATCATGATATATATATATATATATATATATATATATTGACTCTGTATCACAACATTTGTCTTGATGCATCTTGGTTCTTGACCCGTTCCAACGAGACCTCTTGTCGCTCTGTGTAGGTGCCCATTGCCGCTGCGACTTACACGCCTGACCTTGCCCGAGATCAGCGCTACCGATTAGCCTCAGCAATAAGAGTCTCGGCGGTCCATTGAGGCCTGCTGAGGAAAGGAGAATGACCAGATTCGACTTCCACCACATTGTCAATCTTGTGCATTCCACTCGATTTTGCCGAAGAAATCAGATAGTGGATAGCAGCGACTGTCCCAGGTCTGTCCTTGGTGCAAAAAATGTAGCTGGTCGGAATGTGCCGCCAAGCCGCGTACGTGGTAGCGCACCAATAGGTACCCAGACTGTGCGGCCGAAGATCATGACCATACTCTCTGCTGATCTCATCATCCAAGTCCTGATGGAACATTTCTTTAATGTCTTCGGGCAAGACGGTCACGGTTCCTGCCTATTTCAAGAGAAGATAAATATTAATTAGCAAAGAAAATAGGGAGAATAAAAAGGAGAGAAAAGTTATCGGAAAACAACCTCAAAGTCCGTCTTCATCTCGGGAATCATATTATCGCGCGTGCCTCGCGGGGAGTGTTGAAAACCCTCGGACACGAGAAAGGCATTGATATGAACCACCCTAACAACGCCGCCCTTAAGACCTCTGGCAGCGCACGACTGCTTGTCGAGACGTTCAAGAGCGGTGCCGCCCGTCATACCGCTGAAGCTATGCGTGACCACGACAACATCGCGGTCGACCACCAGTTCAAGTACTGTTGTGCGGATTAGGTCCAAATCTGCAGACCAGTCTAATGGCAGCGGCGAGGCATTGGACGACGGCAGCGCCGGTGCAACAGATTCGTACCCTGCCTTGTCGAGCTCACTAACTAGCCGATCCCAGCATTTGGGTGTGTGCCAGGCACCATGGAGCAAGACGAACACAGGCTTGGACATGATTTGGATTTGGCCGGTATATTGAATGACTACGATTGCAAGAGTGAAAAAAAAAACGAAAACGAACTTGCTTGTGCTGCTGATTCAAACAATAGGCATGTATAAATGAAATGAACTGCTGATTCAGGGCTTACTTTTATGTGCTAACATGCTAATGTAACATGCAGTTGGTTTAGGGGGTATGGGGATGGCTGCAGCTCATTGGCGGCCTAGGCTAACTGCAGAGTTAGGGATAGATGTTAGGGACATGACTGCAGCAGAGTGCGGAACAATACAATCTGGACGTCTCCTGCATTTCAAAAACCACGTTCAAAGTACACACGCTCTTTGGCAGTTGCTAAGCACATATGTTATGTTCTGAGCAGTCTGGCGCGGAATGGCATGCTGGTATAATGTGTCGTGCTAAAACTCCCAGGCTTAGGCCGTCGAATTATAAAGTCGAAATAGAATATCGCCGAACAAGGAGAACTCGGCCATAACCTGAACCCAGCGCCGAGAGCTCGGCGACACTTTTTGAAGACACAAAGCCATGTCATATATACAAAATGAGACAATTTGACATTTGCATCGATCTGTCTCAAGAGTTCTCGTTCTTCCAAGACGTTGTGCCTCGGGAAAGGTGGCAATTCTGAAGGTTACTCGGCAGCATAAGATTCAACGTGGTTGGAATGAGATGGTGTTTGCACTACATATAGACTCTCAGTGACTCTGACCCTCACATACGACCACAGATAGTTGAAAACATGGCATCCCGTTCGCTCTGCCCTAATTAAGCAACTAATCGCCAGATCAGTACTCAGGTGGGTGACCACTGGGGAATCCCTGGTGTTGTATGTTTTTGTCGCATTGTTATGCTCGTCTTTTTTTCCCCTTTAGCCGTGGGCTATATAAATAACGCGTGAAATTCTTAAAGCACAATATCAAGAGTACGCGCAAAGGTGTTAAGAATAACAAAACTTATATTTTTGAGTGATAGTGGGACATTTAAAGAGAAAATTAAGTGACTCGGCACCTATTCCGACCCCCTTCCACTTTGAAGTCTACCATAAATGTCATCTTCCTATTGATTTACCGCTCCATCATGGCATCCGAGGCACCATTATTTCGTAAAGCCCTAAGTCGACGGATTGTTCCAAGGTAGCCGTCACCAGCAACTAGTCCTTGAAGTGCCTCGAGCACCAACTGCCCAATCAGTTGCGCCTTCTCCCTCGTCAGACACTCGGTACTATACTCCAACCTGACGGAGACAGTTCCATCATCCCGTGATGTGAATTCAACCATGAGCCGGAACTTGGCACCGTCGGCCCATGTGTGTAGAAATTGTGTGTCCCTGATGGGGAAGCGGAGACTCTGGTCAGCCTCGTGAAAGGTGACCATGGTATCGAAAATATGATGGTTTGGAAAGTCGGGTTCCAGTTTCAGGTGTTTTATAAGCTGGTCCCAAGGTACTGCATGTGAGAGTGCAGCTCTGCTGGATTGTTGCACGGCCCTGATGAATGGGTCTGGTTTCACCTTTAACGAAGGGGTGGATGATCCAAAGCTTTCACTGTGAACGCCGTTCTCTTCATCACTAGATGAGTAACGGACACGGATTGGCAGAGGTTCCAGGAAGAGACCGACAACTTCCAAGTCCTCTTCAGAGTTCCGATTGAGGTAAGGAGCGCCAACCACAATATCGCAATCCTCACTTTCTTGTTGGAGTGCTAGTGCGACAGCGCCTATCACTAACTGGTGCATGGTAACCTTGTTGGCAGAAACAAAGCTGATCATTCCCTGGTATGCGGCTTTGTCAATCTCGAAGACGTGAGATGATCCATTCCAAGTCTTCCTTTTCTTTCCATCGTTCAAGATGGAAGGCGTAGGCTGACAAGCACCATCAAGATACTGGGACCAGAATGCCAAATTATGGGGTGCCGCAGGAACTGACCACACCGTCTGAAAATATGTTTTCAAGACGGGAGACAGCTCGTTACTGTGGTACACATCTGCTACTTCTCGTAGTAAGATGCCGAGGGTTGTCAAATCGCAGATGATATGACTGACAACAACAAGCATGTGCTTTGACGAGACCAAAACTCGGATCAGTTCATCTCCTCGCGTCACATTGAAAGTGGTGTTGACCTCTGTCTTGATATCCATGACATCAACCTCCTTTGTAGTAGGCGGGTGCGGGAAGTATTCCCTGATCAAGCCGCGAGAACCCGAAAGCCGATATTTGCACCTCAGAATACGGTGACGACGCAGAACAAGATTCCAGGCTGATACCAATCGAAGACGGTCGAGGGATTGAGGAAGTTTGCAGGCATATGAGACGTTGAACGAAGATGTTCCGATGTTTTGTTGATACTTGTACCACCACTCGCTCTCAATAGGTGACGTGTGATGATCTTCAAGTGTCAAACCAGCGTGGTTATCGCCTGTGGGTTGGAGTCGTGCGACCGCCTTAGCCAAATCTCGGATGCTGACAGATTCAAGAATCATACTGACTGAGACATGTTGCTCAAAATCTCTGGACAGGCGATGTTTCAGGCGCATTGCGTGGATGGAATTCCCTCCGAGCTCACTGAAACTAGCCTCACAGTCTATATCCGTATTTTCAGATATTCCCAGCACGTATCTTAGCGCTGTGGTGATTTTCTTCTCTGAATCGACTGATATTTGATCTGGCATAGGTTCCTCGTTCGCCTCAGAGGCAAGAGCCTTATAGTCAAGCTTCCCAGTTGGTGTGGTGGGGAATGAATTCACAGCTATGATATGGTGGGGTAACGAGTAGACGGGAATGTGCTGGCGAATATGTGATTTGAACTTTTGTATGTCCAGGTTGGCAGGCTGGATAAAGGCCACAAGACTGTCGTCCTTGATGATCACGGCTGTTGTCGTGCATTGGCCGTCAGCTTTGGTCATTCGAACCTCCAGATCGTCCAGGTCTATTCGAAATCCTCGGAGTTTGACTTGGCGATCAGCCCTGCCCAAGAACAGCAGTTCTCCGCATTCGTTCCAAAATCCACGATCGCCTGTTCGATACATGTACTCGTCGCTGTACTCGGGGTTGATGGAATCCAAGGAGAATTTCTTCGATGTCTCATCAGGTTGCCCAACATATTTATCCGCAACTTGTATCCCGGCAAGATATATCTCGCCAATGACGCCTCGAGGAACTAGTTGTTTGTGGCCGTCGAGAATGTAGATTCTCGTTGAGGAGGTTGGAACCCCCAGAGTCACAGGCAATTGCGCAGTCAGCGGTTTGATGGTTGCGCCACACGTAGCTTCAGTTGGTCCATACATGTTGAAAAGTTGCCTCTGAAAAGCCCATTTATCACACACACTCTGAGGAACGGCTTCGCCGACGAGATAAACTACCTGTAATCCCTCAAAGTCGGCAGGATCAAGTGCCTGGGCAACCGAAGGCGTCAGGATTGCCGTATTGCATACCTTGAGATGATCAAATGGCCTCAAAGCGTCCTTCAAAACCAGAGTAGCGCCATAGCACAGAGCCGAGAATATCTCGTGGATGCTGCCGTCAAATCCCGGAGACATGAACTGCGCAACCCTCCATCCAGGTCGTGCACACAGCCGAACACGAAAGTCTTGCTGGAACGCTACCAGCCCTTCGTGTCGGCAAATGACGCCCTTGGGCTTTCCGGTTGACCCAGATGTGAAGCAGATGTACGCATTCGATCCCAGTCGTTCTTTCTGCGTGGGAAGGCCTCGAATAAAGGCAGGAATCCATTCCTCCACAAGTAGTTGTTCGACGGAAAGCCATACGGGGCACCAAGTTGGCTTGGCCGTAGGCGCTGCTTGTCCAGTTAGGTAAGCCTTTGCATTAGCGGCTCCAAACTTGATGGCTCGATCGGCGTCGGGGAGGTGTTGATCCAGTGGACAGTATGTTGCGCCTGCCTTGAGGACTGCGTAAATGGCAACGATCCAGTTCATGCTACCGTCAGCATGGACACACACAACGTCTCCAGGGGCGACGAAAGCCAGCAGCTGCCCAGCAACAACTGATGACTGGTGGTGAAGCTCTGCATACGTGAGAGTCCGTAAGGTATCCTGAACGGCGACCAGCTGGGGGTTAGCCTCCGCTGCGCGCTCGAACAGCGAGACCAGGTCCTCCTGGGTTGAGCCTCGTCTCGAAAGTATAGACTCCCAGTTCCCCAGACTGCCTAATTCTGCTCGTTCCAGTGGTCCGATTGGTGACTCGAGGCAGGCTTTCAAAGACAATCCTGGCGTTATGAGAGCATCAAGGATTCTGGACAGTGCGGTACTCATGCGTCCCATCTGAACATGATCAAATGACTCTGTGTTGTAGGTCAGGTAAATGCGCCCACATCTCGCAACTTCAACCTGTATCGGAATATCCGAAACTACCTGGCTGAAGGGTTCTTGTATTGGGGAAAATGAAGTCTCCTCAAATGTTGACTTTTCACACTGGATGTTCACAGCTGACGAAAAGTTCCGAGAATAGCCATGGTTGGGCGTACTCCAGTGAAATGACATTATCTCCACCAAGGAATTAAAGACCGCCCTTAGGTATTCATCTACTGTGATGTAGGTATCCAGAGAGATATGAAATGGTAGCATGTTCATCATCGGTCCTACAATAGACTGTGCCCCTTCTATGGGAAAGTTGCGTCCACAGAGAACAGCGCCGAACGAGGCGGAGTCCGAGTCAGCGTATCTAGCCACAACGAGGCCCCATGCAGCAAAGTAGAGTGATGGGAGCGTGATCCCCTTCTTCCTTGCATACTCTCCTAGCCTCTGGACGTTGGAGTTGATCTGAATTTGGCCGTTGAGTGTTGCGGGTGTGCCCTGGTCGCTTGGTCGATCTGGAAGCAACAGGCGCGTTGGTGCATGAGGCGAAGTACCTTGCTTCCGGGCCCAAAATGCCACTGCAGATTTGTGGCCCTTGAGTTGAATCAACCTCAATTTCTGAGAGAACTCCAAGAAGGAGGGGCCAGCCACAAGTGGCTGCCCAGAGAGTATACGCCGAATCTTTGAGTGAATCAAAGCAAACGAAACGCCGTCGACCATGGCATGGTGTACCCTCCAGATAACTGTACTTCGGCCCTGTTCCCCCTTCGGCTGAAGAGTTATGACTTTGAAACTTGAACCTATGTATTCCTCCGTGGGCAGCCATTTGCCCAGCTCTTGTTCATATGAAGAGGCGGTGCTGACCATCACCTCTTCCCAAACGAACGGAACTTGCGCAGCCTCATGCATATACCCATGTAATTCGTCCACCTCAAATACCAAGTTGAATATTGGCTCTGATTGCAAAACCTTTTCCCAAGCGATCCTTAGGGCAGCGATATTTTCGGGCCGATGAGTCTCAAAATATGCAATGATGTTACGGCCGGGATTCTGCCGAGTTGATTGTACCAAGGACAATTGCATCTCTGTCATAGGATGTCTTTCGATGGCCTTTTCATCGCCTGGACCTGCCTCTGCATGCTGTGGTCGGCACAGAGGCTTCTTGGGTTGCTCCAGGGCTTGTAAACGCTTGTGTTCCATCCTCTGAAGAGGCGCCGCGATCGGACCAGCGTCTTCAATGTGCTCAGGGTTATGCGTACTTTCATCAATCAACTGGAGCAGGTTAGTTGCTGCCAGTATTGATCCGACGGACAGGTGTATATGTTGTTTTCTGAGCGCGCTCTGAAGCTGCATAGATGACAGCGAGTCTCCGCCATTCTGAGTAAAGCTAGAGGCAAGATGTAGGAGTGACAAGGGCCTCTCGAGAACTCTGGATATCTCGTACAAGACAGTCATGTGCGAAGTCATATTGCTCTTAAGATGATGCATTGTAGGACTGATCATGAGAGCCGCGAAGAACTGCCGCCAATCAGCAGAGACCAAAACGGTAAGGCGTTGCTGTAGCTGGTTTTCTGTGGTACAATTACAATTATCGGACCAAGTTATTTCATTGTAATGGTGGAAATGAACATGGAAAGTTCTTACAGGTGACGACTCGGATGTCTTGGCACTCCGGCCTCCGGCCTATTTCTGTCGAAGAGACTTCGGATACCGACCCAGCGTACGTACATGCAGAAGTTTCATCTCGGAAAACCCGATACTAGTGAACCTGGCGATGGAGAAGGTCTGGCAGTACGTGTCTTGACTCCAGCCCTCGAGGAACCCGCCCCTAGACAAGAGCCCATGTTATATTCCTTGTAGATCGAGTGTGTAGCGTTTTTGGCCACTAGCAGCCTATCGCATGATGTTGTATCATCTTCCTAGTCTGCCTTTCTGTTACCACATGGTAGAGGCAGTATAATGCACGTACTCACCTTGCTCAGTCTACAGGGGGGATCAAGGAAAAACCAAAAATCGACGCCTTGAAGAAAGATTGGATTTCCTTACTTGTATCACCCAGTGTTCTGCTGAACCTTGGAACACCAATCATCCCAGACATACATACTGTGCACTAGACCTACAGTTCTGCTTAAGTGACTTGATTGTCAAATTCATTACTCTCCACAAAGTAGTAGCTGGTATCCAGCACACACAAAGACGGTTTATTCAACATACATGTCTTTGAGCGCTTCTCTTTGCAGATAGGCGTCGAAGCTGAAGTACTTATCGTCAAAAACTTTCGGGCAACGCATGAAAACAGCGTGCTCGGAGAGCCACGGCAGCCGACTTCTACCAATATGACTGGAAGGGTCGTCCAAGTCTTTCTGGCTTTGCACTCTTCTCCACCAAATATTTAAAACACGCTGAATACATGTGAGTATCTAGTACCTAGCGGCCTACATACGTAAGGTATATGACGACCCGTCAGATTTTAAGCTCACCCTTGCCGCAACTAAACTGTCCGTACACTGTACCAGTACTGGGTACACTCGAAACGTGAATGCATCGATTAGTTGTAGTCCCGGATCGTAAATTGTTCTTGCAAACTTTCCCCCACCTACAGCACCTGGAGCCTGGTGAAACAAACGCAGCGCTATTTCACGAATACTGTGTCGCACGAATGATCGCAATGCAGCACCCAGCATATAGCAATGTGCTTATAAAATCTCCGGTTCTAGCAGAAACCTATTACCATCCGCCGCCACTATCATTCCTCTCTTTATCTCTCACTCTTGGCGGACATTGTAGGTATTTGAGACTGCAATTCCTCTTCCCCTATTCTCGCCAAATTTGGGTTGCTCCGAGAGCTCAACGCTGTTGCCTCTGGCATCGACAGTATGTCCCAGGTTTTGTCCTTTCACATTGTTGAAGCTGGAGTCAACAGGGACAAACCTCGGAGTGGACTCATTCTCAGAGTTGGCTCGTGGCCAGCTCTCATCCGCTATGCGACTGCTAGATCCGCCACTTTGTCGGGTCAGGGAGAGCAGACGGGTTGTGAACGACCTTAGGGTGGGTGCAAGCTCAACCACTACAGGCTTTAGACTCGGCACACAGCAGCAGATAATTCCAATCGGAAGTTCCAGAGTCTGCAGCAGGATGGTAAGCCAGAGGTAGTCCGTGACGTCGGATGAAGGAATGCCGGTAAGATCGAAGACACAATCGATTTTAATGAGGGAAATAACCGTTGCACTAGAATTCATTAGCGCCATGCCAAGCATATAAGCGGCAGAAGGAACATAGCAAGATCAAAAAGCAACTTACACAAGTCCAAGTCCAAGCAGGCAAGATAACACAACTTTACTCGAGAAAGCTATTTTCAAATTCCAGATCAATGGCATTGGCATCACGACAATGGCCAAATCAAGCAAAACGTGGATAATGCCGACAGCCGAACAACTCTTGGTAGAATCAATGCAAGTTCCCTGTACGGTTGGGTCCCAAAGCACGCTGATTGGATTGCATGAAAATATTGCCAGGCAAAATCCAGCAATCCCCATACCAACAACCAAGAATATGGTTATGTAGCAGGCCCATGTGAAGATCTTGTGTACTCCGAAAATACGAAGATAAAAGGACAAGATGGAAAGCTGCACGACGGTGACGGTGAAAATCCAAAGAGAGAAATTCGCAACAACAATCTGGGAAGAAGGAATATAGATTAACAAAAATACCTTGAAAGGAGTATTGAAAGTTATGAAATAAAATATAAAATGAAAATAGTAGCTTAGTTTACCTTAAGATATGTATATAGCGCCTGGGGATCAACGGCCATGACCGTGGTGATTGGAAGTCCCGCGCCGCCAGCAAAAACTGCTGCCATGTTCACCCCTTGGAAGGTCCATGTCAAGACCTGTCACATATTGTTAATATTCCCTGTTATTCAATCGCCACCTAGGAAGAGACGCACAAGTGCGGCAAGTGCCAGCCAGTCATCAAACATGTACTTCTGCTTCTGAATCCGCCTCGAGCGAAATCTGAACACTACGGTCACCGTGGCTAATGATGCCATGATAATGGGCAATGTAACGATTGCCAGCTGGTGGCCATTTGTTGCCTCGAAAGTCGTTCGCCTGAGTAGTTCGGTCATCTTGTCGTGAGCTTGTTGATGCTACTGTGATGATGGGTCACAGAAGAGGCACGTGTATTTGATTCTGTGTACAGAAAAGAATGTGAAAGGCTAGTGAACAATATTGAAGAGACAGAGAGAGAGGGGAAGGGAGAGAGAGAAAAGGACCATGTCGGCATGAGAGTAACACAGATTGGCTGGTCACCTGGGTATTTTATTGCAATGGGCGACGAGTTGACAAGGAGCGACAGCGGTAAGGGGAGGGGGTCAGACAAGAGTAAGGCCTGAAAGAATGGCTGCATACCATTACCACACACCATTATTAGCGAGCTGCTGTCAGAAAAAAAAAAATTCACTTGGTCTGACGGACCAAATTCGGTGCCCGGATGGCTACGTTACCGGCTGCTGGGGGATTGTAATGTATGCGTGACCAAGCATGCGGGGCAGCGGCTCTTGCTGCATGAAGCAATAAAAGCAATAAATATCATCTGCATTGTCTGCGGTTGGCAAACCATCAAATGGCTTCATGACATCCTATCCAGGAAATCTGACCACCAAGCCACAAATTCGAACACGACATGGCGGAAGGGAAGAACCAGACCCATTATATCCTTGAAGGAAACCCTGAGGAACTCGAGCGCCTCAGACTTGGGCAGGCAGTCATCAGTAGCTGTCTCGGCCGAAATGTCTTTGCGCCAATCAACTTTGAAGAACCCGGTTTGCGCGTGTTGGACTCTGTTGAAATAAGGTGGCGGGGTGCGACCCACACTGTGGCTGTATATAGTGGGAGCCTTCCCCCGTCCCTTTAGGGTAGCATTGCTGGTCAATCTATGGAATATTGAACATACCTTTTGACAGACTCTGCAACAGCCGAGAGTACGTAGTGTAGAATAAGTAATTGTCTTATGCGACCACCCAACCACCCTACCCATCACCTCCACGTCCACGTTTTAAATTCCCGGGGGAAGCCAATTGCTGATGCCCCCTAAAATGGTAATGCAGGTCTTTGGTTACAGGAGCTTCGTGATTCGATACCAGTCTCGGTGCGCAACACGCACACCTTTATAGGCATCGACATCACCAGTATCTATTTTCTGAGGCCCCCGCCCGACGAAATTCAGCTGTTTGAGCAGTCAATGACGAAGCCGTGGCCGACCGAGTGGGTGGGGACTTTTGACCTCGTCCATGGCACTTCCGGCGGCAGGCAAGGCGGACGTGCACGAGGCCCTGAATTCGTTTATTGATCTCGTTCGGCCTAGAGGCTGGATCCAGCTGGTAGAGCCGGACCACTCCGTGTCCAAGTCGCCCGGGATGCAGGATTTCTTCCAGCTCCTGTCTGACGTGTTTACCTTTATGGACACAAGCCCTGATTATGCGCCTCAATTGAAGACCTGACTAGCAGACAGAGGTCTCGAGAGCGTGCAAGAACAGGTGTTTAATGTCCCCATTGGCAAGACCAGCCCGACTGAGGAACTGAGGCTCAAGAGCTCTAGGACGATAGAATTGGTTATGAAGGGGCTGGTCGAGGTTGCACAAAGTGAGTCTACGATCCCTGCTAGGCGTAGCACACTGAGGGTAATATGTTAACTTGTCCTCCTCTTAGAAGTACTTACATCGCTTTCGACAGAGCAACTCGACAATCTCATTCAGAAGACACAGAAGGATCTTCTCGAGACGGGTGACATATTTCGCCTTCACTGTGTATATGCTAGGGAAGGGGGGGGGGGGGGGGGGGACGTAGGCGGCTGAGATCTAGATTCGAGGCATGCAACAGGAGAGAGTAGACTGCCAGGCCCTTTGCGAATACCTAGTAAAATAATCTGGCCTCTTCCAATCAGACGTGACGCAGAATTTCATGAATAGAAATCATGTTATTTTATTTTATGATAGTTCTGGCCCTCGATTCTAGCGAAATGAGTGCAATGGTAGCATTCGGAAATACTACATACAATAACTATATCATTACTAGCATTGACTGGTAGTCGATACTAATCATCAACTTTTTATATATCCATGATACAACAAATCAAACCCTGTAGTTTTGATACCCCTAGAGGCAGAGAGTCTTCACGTGTAAGAGGCCCAGAAAGCGACATATACCACACGCATCACTCCGAAACAAACACGCGCCCGCGTAGTCCAGGTTATGCTGGTCATACCAAAACACCTCTTCAACATATGTTATTCCTTCCTTCAGGATAATTGATCATATTGGCCTCTGCCGAGCTCGAAGGGCATTTTCTACTTTGGTGCGCTTGTAGCTTCTATCATGCCATTTATATCACGGTTCTTAGGTAGTTCCCTCGCCAGCCCACATCCTGCAAATGAACCCATGCTCATGGCATTCGGGATGTTTCGCAGCGGAGAACAACAATCTCCTGCAGCGTACACTCCTTCCACGCTGGTGGAATTGAACGGCGGCGTGACTTTGATTCCAAGACCTGGGACGTACTCACAGCCGAGCTGATCAGGAACTGGGTTACCTGCTTGCAACTCGGGCTTGTGTACAAGAAATGCCAATATCTCCCTCTCACCTCCCTCGAACTCCACTCCGATTTCCCTACCACTCTCTGGTTTGTATAATCGCTCCACCTTTCGGTTGTCAATGTGTATTCCTTCAGCTGCGTCGCATGACAGTATGTCGGCTAGGGCCGAGTCCTCGTTTGTATATATCGTTACTTTATCGACATACTTCAATGCATCGCGTGCGTTTATCATGGCATGTATAGGATTGGTGAGTGTTCCTACAGCTAGAAGACCAGCCATGGGAGAATCCTTTTGCTCGTGTCCGTAACAGAACATGCAATGAAAGCTGGATTCGAGGATTATTGCGTGGTCCTGTCGAAAAGGAATGGATTGAGCTTACATTGATGTCCCATAGCTTTCCGCATAGCCCTCGATTTCGGGGTATATCTCCTGCACGCCCGTGGCTAACAACACTTTCCTTCCGGTCCATCTCTCTCCAGCATCGTCAACTACCTCAAACGTGCCAACAGACAACTTCCTGGCAGACGAAGCGGTTCTGGGATTGAAATGGACTAACCCTGACGCTCTAAGCTCGGAGCGGGAGGTCTCGCGCATCTCTTCCGGGTCTTTGCCCTCCCACCCTAGAGTTAGACGAGTTTGCTTCGTGAGAGCATCGCGTGGTGCGCCTGAATCAATGACTACACATGTGTGAAATGCACGGTATAAAGTCAATGCCGCGGAGAGGCCCGCATGGCCGCCACCGATAATAATGACATCATAAATCTTTCTCGGAGAGCTCATATTGAGTCGTGGTTCAGACACTGCGTTTGCTTCGAATTCACGTTTTGGAGGAGAAGCTGACCATGCGCAATTCAAACAAACAGAGCGGCATGCTCTATAGACGTTGGACGGTAGCTTGCGGGCATTGTACGCCGCAGACACTCGGCTTCCGGGCAACCCAAAATGAAACAATTGTCTCTGGTGAAAGTCCAAAAGTGCCAATATACATTCGGCTTCCGAGACAATAACTAAGATTCGACAGAAAATATCTATACTCGGTTTCCGGACATCAAATATACATCCGTATCTAGCATGACGCCATAAACTATGACACTCGTAACTTATCAAGATAAACGAGATATTTGAGAAACAGGCCTGGTCGCCATTCCCGTAGAGTTGTGCACGGCAGAGATAATTTTCAAAACTTTCTTACCTAGAAATTGATCAAGTAGTAGTGCTTCGAGCAACGCCAGAAAATGGGCTCAGTCGATTCAACCAAGGTCGTCGACGCTCTGATCATTGGAGGAGGTGTGTCGGGACTGGCAGCTGCACTCACGCTCGCCCGACAACAGCACACCGCCGTGGTCCTTGACTCTCAAGTCTATCGCAATGCGCCCAGCGGTCACATGCATAATGTCTTGACGTGGGATCGCGAGGATCCGGCGACATTCCGCGCGGCTGCGAAGAAGAACATTGAGGACGGCTACACCACGATTACGTTCGAGACGACCGAGATTGCCTCGATTGTGAACGAGCCCAATGCTCCTCAGCAGCGCTTCACGGCCACGAGCACTTCAGGAGCTGTATGGGTGGGAAGAAAGGTCATTCTCGCCACCGGAGTTCGTGATATATACCCAGACATTGACGGCTATGGCGACTGTTTTGGAAAAGGGATGTGCGTATTGTTTCAGAATCCATTTTCCAGACAACTATGACTAATCCTGTAACAGTTATCACTGCTTTTTCTGCAAAGGGTACGAAGCACGAGGCTCTGAGCACGCAGCCATTCTGGCCCTACCCGACTTATCGAGTGTGCCGGCGGCGCTTCACGCTGCTCGAACGGCTGCAAGGTTCACCAAATCCATTACAATCTACACACACGGCTCGGACGAGCTGCAAGAAGGTCTGATTGCGGCACAGGGCAGCAACCAGATATTTAAACTAGACAACCGTAAGATTGCTCGCTTCGAAAAAGGGCCGGGCTTTGCGGACGTGCTTGTGCACTTCGAGGATGGTGAAGTCGTGTCAGAAGCGTTCATTGGTCACAAGCCGCCCACAACAGCAAGCGGGAAGCTGCATGATCAGCTCGGTTTGGAGATGACGGCCGCAGGCGACCCTGTGATTAAGCCAATGTTCTGCGAAACGTCGGTAAAGGGAGTATTTGCGTGCGGCGACAGCGCCTCTCCCATCAAGATCATCCCGCAGTCCTTGTTCTCGGGATCCGCAGCGGCAGCGGCAGTCTGTGCCCAAATTCAAGCTGAGGATGCGAGCCAGTCGTGTATCTTCTAGTTACAGTTGTATATAGTACCCACTTACGTAGGCGCATCGGTGACCTTGCTTGATCAAGTCAACATCTCCGCACTGCAACTATACATTCAGTGAAAACCAGGACCAGGAGCAAAATAACGCCAATACCTGTTGGAGGATCACTGTGCGTATCCATCTCATTCCACTTTCCCTTCCTTGTGAGTTTGAAAACAACGTCCCTCGCCGGTGTTGGCCATCCGACGGTATCGATACGGGCCGGACCCCGAGCCTGAGACCCCTGGTTACACAGCGTGCCAGGCAAAATATCTTAACTTTCACCCATGCCAACGCCCAGCCAGACGAAGCCTGTTTCATTGCTCCTGAAAGACCGCCAGTAGCTAAATTCTCAATTTGCGTTCGCCCGCTACTCTTCCTGCGCCACATGCACGGGTCGGCGACCGATCTATCGAGATACTGTTAGCCACTGACTTAGCGACCCATCATTACCACACCATGAGCACCACAGACGTAGCCCCAACGCTGTCTCCAGAGGCCACCAGCGTAGAACAGGAAGATTCCGTGGTAGAGAAGCTTCCAGAAGTCACCGACAAGGAACATGATCGAGGTCTACAGTTTTGGCTCATCATACTGTCAGGATGTCTAGTGGACTTCGCGACTGCCCTAGATGCGACCATCATCACAACGGCGCTGCCCAAGATTACGGCCGATCTCCAGGCTGAGCAACAATATGTGTGGCTTGCAAATACGTACGTGTTTGCCTCAACGGTGGTGATGCCGTTTGTGGGCCAGACCTCCAACATCTTCGGGCGTCGCATGCCCATGATCATTTCTGTGGTCCTCTTCTCAATCGGCAACGCCATCGCCGGTGCTGCCACCAGTGCTGGCATGCTCATAGCAGCAAGGGTGGTGACCGGCCTTGGCGGGGGCGGCATCTTCGTCCTCAATGATCTGATTGTCTGTGACCTCGTTCCGGTCCGAGAACGACCCAAGTTTCTTGGCATACGGATCGCTATAGCGACGATATCGACCATCATCGGCCCCGTTCTCGGCGGCGCCCTGGCACAAGCATCATGGCGCTGGGTCTTCTTCATCAACCTGCCATTCTCCGGCATTGCGCTTGCCGTCATGATCCCATTCCTACGCCTCAAATACAGGCGCGAGGCGACATGGAAAAAGGCTGTTGCCCGTATAGACATCCTCGGAAACTTCATCTTCGCCGGAGCCATAACTGGAATTCTGTTTGGACTGATCATGGGCGGCGTACAGTATCCCTGGTCGTCCTGGCACATAATCGTGCCACTTGTGATTGGGTTTTGTGGTTGGGCTCTCTTCCACTTCCATCAGGCCTCCCCCATCTGCAGGGAGCCCAGCATGCCCCCCCTGCTCTTCAGCAACCGTACGTCGGTTGTGTGCCTTGCGCTGACCTTTATATCAAACACTCTCCTGGAGTGGATTGTTTACTTTCTGCCCATATACTTCCAAGCCATCAAGGGCGCAACCCCCCTCCAGTCTGGTGTTGATGTTCTGCCCCTCAGCGTCGTATACGTTCCCCTTGCAGTGCTGACGGGCGGCCTCATGTCCAAGTTTGGAAAGTACAAGCCGATACATCTCGTTGGGTTCGGATTTACGTCTCTTGCTTGCGGCCTGCTGTCTATCCTGGACGCTGCCTCGCCGACGGTTGAATGGGTCTTCTGGCAACTCTTCCTTGCCGTTGGTGCCGGCTTCACTATGATCAGCATCCTCCCCGTCATCCAGGCGTCGCTGCCAGATAGCCACGTGGCTACTGCCACCGGCACGTTTGCTTTCGTGCGAAACTTTGGTTTTGTATGGGGCGTGACCATCCCGTCTGTCATCTTCAACGCACAAATTGAACGTAACCTGCACTGGGTCCTGGATACCGACGTTCAGCAGCGACTCAGCAATGGTGCCGCATACGGTTATGCTGGGACTGGCGCCATTACCCAGCTCCCCCCGGATACTCAAGCCCAGGTCCACGACGTCTACAAATCAGCCATGTCTGCCATCTGGCAGGCGGCGGCGGTAATTGCCGCCATTGGGACTTTGCTTGTATTTGCAGAAGCCGATATCGAGCTTCGGATGGACAATGACACGGAGTTTGGCATGGAGGACGGAGGAAAGAAAATCAAGGAGAAGTCTCCCGAAGGAGTTGACACTCAAGAGACTGTTTGATTGCATTTCTACTCTACACAAGTTCATTGCCAGTTGCACGACCAGGACACTGTCTAGCAAGTCGGCTTAATGTGTACTGATTCACGTTTGCGGCTTAGAATGGCTTTGAAGAAATGTCTATTAGTGGGGCTGTAAGCTGCACTGGTGTGTAAGTGTAATAGTATTATGGTTAGGTGAAGGATATATGGTTCACAATGATGAAGCAAGGATCCGGCATCATTATCGCCAAGAACAACACCAAACACTTCAAAAATCATGATTCATGAGTATATATGTCGCACTAGACCACTGTAATAGCTGAACAAAATGTGAAGCTCCACACTCAGAACCAGCCTAATAGTGGCTATGGTACGGCGCAATAATATACTACACATGTGTATGCTGGCGAGGAGGTGTTGGGCCCCCCGCCTCGCATAGGTCTTCTTGAGTAATCATCTAAGCATTCATTGAGCTGCCAGGTGAATTAATCTTTTTGTTTTTTAATTAATCAAACCCTTTGCACGCAACCTCTATGCCGGTGTGCAGAGGTGAAATTGCCAGCCAATCGCCTTTGCGAGTCTGACTACATCGTACGACGCCTCGGTTCCCGGCCTGTTCTGAGCCTTATGCCCAAGGGTTGGCAGACCCGCCTCGCAATCACCCTCGCTTAGCACACTACGGCCGCCGGTATGGACTTGAGGTGAGAGCTAGGTATGTACTTGAATGGCTTCTCGAAACAAATGGTTGATTCTCGCACTCGCGTGACAGCAGACATATTAGCCTTCCTACGCCTTCCATGCAGGAATCCAAGATCAACCTCCGCTGGGCAACAGCGCCAGAATACCACCCCAGCCCGCGGTCCTGTTGGAGGAGAGTCACCGAGGCCGTAATTCTCATGCTCGTTGTCACTTTCAGTTATTTGCAGTGGCATCTCCGGTTTATACAAGCTCTGGTGTACCCTGGCAACAGCATTTTTGATAGGGTGCCTTTGATCGGTCAGTTGCATTTGTCGCCTTCAGTGAGGCCAGAGACGGCGAGCTCCTAACCTGGGCTGTGGTTGCAGATGGACACAACGACTTTCCCATATGGATCCGGGCGTACTATCAGAACCACATCTACCAAGACAACTTCACGCAAGATGCACCGCTTTATGGACAAGTAGATTTTCCGCGTTTGCGCCAGAGCCGCCTTGGAGGACAATTCTGGAGTGTATACGTTGAATGGTAATTATCCACAGCAAACGGGAATGGGGACTAGTAGCAGACAACTCATGCTAATGATGACCCCTGCGCAGTCCGAACAATAGCAGCGAGTACTCAGACTCAGCATACAGGGAGATCATCCACGACACGCTGCAGCAGATCGACCTGGTCTACCGGCTGATCGAGGAGTATCCCTCCGATCTGGTGCACGCACGCACAGCTGCCGACGTTTACAGGCAGTTCGGGTCCGGCGATGGGAGGATATCCTCACTACTTGGCATCGAGGGCCTGCACCAGATCGGCAACAGCGTAAGCATCTTGCGCATGTACCATGCGCTGGGCGTACGGTACGCCACGCTGACGCATACGTGCCACAACGCGTACGCCGACAGCGAAGCGCCGGCGGCGCCACTGCACGGCGGGCTATCGGCACGCGGATGGCAGCTTGTCCGGGAGATGAACCGGCTTGGCATGGCCGTGGACTTGTCGCACACGAGTGCGGCCACGCAGCGCGACGCCATTGCGGCCAGCGCCGCGCCCGTCATGTTCTCGCACAGCAACGCCTACGCGCGTTACCACCACTCGCGCAACGTGCCCGACGATGTGCTCGCCGCGCTCCGCCGCAACGGCGGCATTGTCATGGTCACCTTTTACCCCGCGTTCCTCGAGGCGGATCCAGCCGCTGCGTCGCTCGACTCGGTCGCCGACCATATCCAATCCATTGGCGAGGCCATTGGCTACCGCCACGTCGGCATCGGGTCCGACTTTGACGGTATGCCCGCGGGGCCGCGCGGGCTCGAGGACGTCACGAGATACCCTGACCTCATCTCTGCGCTGCAGGACCGGGGACTCGCGTCCGCCGACATTGCGGGCATCATGGGTCTCAACGTGCTCCGGGTGCTGGAGGCCGTCGAGTGTGTCTCTGAGCAAATGCGCGATGTACGGCCGCTGGAAGATGATGTAAAAGCATTCTTTGGTGCCTAGGTATGCACCTACACTGTCGTGGAACATGGATTATGCAGCAAGACCTTTTGAATGACAGGCATTGACGCGCAAGTACGTAAACATGACACCGAGGTCTGCAAAAACGGCCAACGACCAAGGTCGCTTGGTCGCTGGTCTCAATCGTGTGAAACGCGCTGGGCCTAAAAATGCAGCAGAAATGTGTAGATGGAGTCGATTGAAAATGGGAGATTTTAGCAGAGATAAGCTAGTGCAATATTATGCGGGAGTCTCACCTAGGTAAGCAATTGAATACGAGACCATATGACCGAAGGAGTATAGTATAAATGTCTTAGTTGATCCCAACTACTTACAAAAGACAAGTACTGATTGGTGAAATAGGAACTCAGCCTGCTTTATTTCGGGATTCACCACTACAAACTACATACATTTACCTTCCACTACTCCCATAGATACGTACAGAGACTCAAGCAGCTAATCAAACGCTTCACTTACCGTAACCGGTGCATCTCAATACTGACGAGCTATCCAATATATCCATGCAGGTGAGCTGCGGTAGGTACTAATTACGCCAGTTCGGCAGGATGAAAATGACATAAATTTAGAGTCCACTTTCTTGGCATCCGTGCCTTCAAAATACACCGGGCTGAAAAGGTAAGCTGACGATGATGCCATAAGCCTTGGGGGTAGCACGGCGCATAGAAGGATGGGAGTTGCCATATTTTTGTAGGCCCTTATTGAGCACTACCTTGCAGGGAAGAGCCGGCCCTGCCACTGAAAAGCCAGTTGAAAGAGGTCTAGGCGACTGTCATTCAAGATCTCCTTTGATACATACGTACACATCTGCAGTATTTCCGAGCTCATGGAACATTGTTTATTGGCTACCTTTGATGCACTGTGATTAAGATATGAACAGCTGGTGAAAACTTAGGATGATGCATGCTCGCTCTTTGCTAAAGAAAACGGAGTCTCTGATTGTTAAAGGCTGCAGTATCAAGGAAATGGCGCAGGGGGCTGTAGGCAGCATAAGGGTGGCTGCATCCCAGCTTTCTGTACAGCTTTCGTTCGATTTAACACTCACATATACTGCGGGTCTATGGGGAGAGAGTGGATCAAGAACAACAGTAATATTCGGTTTGTATCAGATTGAAGGTTAGACTACTATGGTAGGCATTATAACCTACGCTATCCCAAGACGTTTGATATTCCTAGGACTGTGGTAATACCCCTGCGTAGAGTGCAAGTTCGGAGCTGGTCCTGTGTTTTTCCAGCGGGACCTTGAAAGGATATTTATGATAGCATACTATTCAATCCCTGCTCAGTAATCCTTGCTTTCCCATACAGCCTCGATAATGGCGAGGCTGGATCCCGGGGGGTAGACGATGCTTTTAAGCACGAGTCCAGCGTCCGCGTCAGCAAAGAGAGTTTATCACTCAGCCTCAGTTCGCTCTTTCGCATAAAAAAGCGCGGCCATGCTCAAATCTGCCGATCTTCATGTACAGCGGGTTAGAAACGCGTTCATGGGTGATGCAAATAATGAGACACCTGTGTAGTTACACGGGTCTGGAACGACATACCTCAGATCCCTCTCTCTCCATGCAGGCCCAAAGCCCGGCTCGGGAATGCATGAGTCTTGTATGGCCAAGCGCGCTCCGGGCCGCAGCGCGGGTATCAGTGCGCGAAGGATGCGGATTCAGTACTTGTCGGACCAGTTGTGCATGACGCGACGAAAGTGGTAGACCTCAGCGGCTACGGTCTGGGTTTGGAAGAAGTCGTGCGCCATAAACCGCACGCGCCCGGCGGCGCCATTGTCCTTGTTGTTGTCGTCGCTGCTGCCTGCCGCCGCCACCACCTCATCCGGCGGCGGGCTCATGTCCTGCACCACGACTTGGAGCTTGTGGAACCGCCGTGCCAGCGCGTAGGCTGTGTGGCCGTCTGACCCGCCGACGTCCACGACCTGCGCTGGCCCCAGGGATGCCCAGTCGTAATGGTCGAGTAAGTGGCCTACATAGTCCTCCTGTGCCGATGCAGCCTTCATGGCGCTCCCAAAACGGACGGCGCGGTCGGGATCATTTGCAATAGCGTCATATATTGAGCCGTTGGTGTTGTTTGCGAGGGAAAATGCCTAGATTGACGAGGATCAGTGAGTTGATGGATCCAGTTTACTGTAAACAGGCATTCGGTCATCTCGAAAACTCGGATTTTCCAATGGTCAAGAAAAAGAGAAAAGCGATTGTGGGAGACTGGGCTAACCGTTTCGTTCGGTTCCTCAGAACCCGGCCATTTCCGGAGAGCGTCGAGCATCTTGGGAAACATCACCGTCAGTGCTTACTCCATAATGTGAGTACGTTGACTTATTAAGAATGATATCACACCTTGACTGCAGGGGGCCACATTTCCTCGGCTTGTAGCCTCAACCAGTCTCTGTTTTCCTGGGCGACGAGAAATCTCAACACCTTCGTGTGGGCAATCACACTCGGCTCGGGCTGACTAAAGATACGCATGCTAATTGCATGTTGAAGAATGCGCCGCACGATATCCTCACCTAGACCGATGGACTCAGAAATGGATTTGACTGTGGTCTGTCCGCCGACAGGAACCAAGCCAGCGATACCGAAGTGGCTAATGGCATGCAGACTGACCATGTTATTATGCTGAGAAGTTTAGGAGTATGATTGTATCGACAGAACGTCATGATGACATGATTACACACCGCACCTCTCCGGAATAACAAAGTAAAAGGATCGAGTAGGCGGTCATAAAACTCAGACGCAGCATCGAGAATGGCATCTCGCGCGGCCAAGGCCCCCCCGGTCAGCACTATAGGTTGCGCATCTTCGTCGAGGGATGGAAAAGGAGACGCATTGGACGCGAGAGCGTCATGCAATTCTTGGGCTGACTTGCTAATAGACGCTGCAAGTTCCAACAAGCGCGCTGCGTCACTGTTCGTAGCCATATTGCATGTGTAGATCTAGACTGTGGCTCGTGGAACGTGGAAAGTGGCGATGAATTGATTGTGAGGCTCATTTATATGACAGATAGAGCCGAAAGAATGCTTATAATCTATGTTTAATCTTTTTCTCGCCAGGTTATCAATCATGACACATCGGACATTCGGCTTGCGTAGTAAGATGCAGAACCCCGGTGCAGTGAAAGCCTCCCGGTAGGTACGGCCTAGGGAATCAGCTGAGCTAGGATATTTACTATGCCTTTGAGCATCCACTCGGTTGCGTGTGAAAAAGACTTGGTGGGACGTTATTAGAAACAACGGAAAGAGCTTCGGTAAGCGCACCAGCAAGGCGCTGTACGGGGGCCGGTGAAGCTGCCGGAGAGACGGTTGGCAAGACTGTCCGCGGGAGACAAAGCCATGATGGGGCGCAGCACGCTGAGAGTTGTTTTCTACAACATCTATCTATAAATGACCCATGCGCCTTATCAAAAACCCAGATGGAGACGGATAAGTACTCTGGTAGCGAATCAAGGCATGTTTGCAGTAATCGCCAAACGCGATGACATTTTGTACCGCCAATGCGCGCACTCGGTGCTTCCCAATTGGGATGCCCCGAGCTTGTTGGTACACCCCTGAGCCTGTGTATGCATTCATGTACTCCAAAATGGCACCCCAAATTCCTTCTGTAGTAGCATAAAGCCTTGCCTTTGAATGCAGGTGTCTCTCAGGCTTTGAGGTGTCGTGGTACTTCAATGGATACAAGGCTGTGCGTACTCGTGACATCTACTAGACGTACTGGTATACAGTTGGTAGGCTGCAAGGCTTTAATTTATGTGATAACAAAGACGAATAGGTACTATAGTACATAGTAGGTATATATAGGGTCAGTTGAATGTACAAGCCATCCGTTGTCGGTCGTCTGCATTTCGAAGTGGCTGTAATTGACGCTGAGTTCTCGTCAAATACCGTGATTCATCCACCCTCTTCCTCGTCAGCGGCTTCACAATAAAACTTACCAAAACTATTCCACGTTTACTTTGAGTTGGCCACCATGTTGCAAACATCTCAAAGGTACGTACATCCTCATCGCACCAGACCATTGTGAGTTTATATTAATAATTCCCGACCTCACAGCCGGAAGGGGGCGGCGGCAGCCAATACGCCGCAGCAGGTCAAGCTTCGAAGTGCATGCAACAAATGCTGCATTGCCAAGGTAAGGCTCAACGCACATTTCCTTTGCCCAATTGATCCCAGAATATCACTCTGAGCCATGGACAGGTAAAATGTTCGGGCGAGAAAACCGGATGTGCGCGGTGTCGCAACACGGGGGATAAATGTGTGTACATGGAATCAAGAGTTGGCAAAGTCCAAGGACCGAGGAGGAAGACAAGGGATACCAGCCGCAACGAACCCCGGCACCACCAACAGGACAGGACAGGCCTCTCTTTGGCCCAGCCGGCTTCTGTCATTACGGTAGCGACAGGCGATGAGTTGCAGGAGCACGACCCCGTTGAATTGATACGGTGGTCTGGCGACTGGCATCTTGCACAGTTGGAAACATCATCACCCGCCGAATTTCGCGACAATTTATCCAGCGGCGCGGAAACACGTCACAATTCCACCGACGTCTCTATGTATACCAGTCCGGAAGGATTTGGGATGCCTGTAGTTGACCCAAATCTGGAAAACTTCTTACTGGAATTTCCCGTTCCACGAGACTCGCTTGAGCCCACTAGCACAGCATCTAGTGGTGATGCCTCCGCATCTCCGTCACTCGGGATGCGGCCAAGGACCGAAGCCGACAGCCAGTGCTGCCTGGATTGCTGCCATATAATTGCAGATCTCGAGAACTACATAATGTCAGATCTGAGAAACTTCAAGATTATCCTTGGCATCATTAGAAACGTGCTCCAAAGGCTGGCACAGTTGATCGAACATCAGCAGAGCTCGGTAAACCATCGATGTCTCCTCCTGCTTAAGACACTCATGTACCAGATCCTGGAGCTAATGGAGGCTGGTCGCAAAAGTATTATAGCCGAGAAGACGCGGGAGCGACAGCGAAGCCTTGCAAGTGGGGGCACAGGCCTAGGTCTCGGGGACTATTCGATTGATGCTGAAGAGCAGTCAACACTCAGAGTCCAGACGGTAATCAAAGAGGTACGACGGGCTACCGAACTTTTGAGCAAAATGAAAAGCCTGAGTGACGGTTCGGGGCCATTATCTGATCGCACCGCACGAGAGAATCATTACATAGATCTCGAGGATCGTTTCCGAGGTCTGGAGGCTCTGTTAAGACCATAGTATTTGCCAAGATGAAACAAACATCTGTCAACATGTCAGCAAACCATCAGATGCAAGCCCTACATATTTCAGCTGACAATATTCTGCCTCGGATGCTATCAGCCAAGCCAGCTTGGCGATGCATCATCACATACTTCGGGCTCAAGCCCAGTCCTAGTGTCAAGCTGTTGAACTATGGCACTACGGGGAAGTACCAGCTGCCACGCAGCTGGTGAAAACCTTATATAATGGGAGTACTATAAAACCTTTTAGAAGTAGCCCTTTATATAAATTATTAAATTATATTAATATATATATATCGACCCCCTGTTTATTTTGCAATTATTTAATTATTAAATAATTATAAGCCCGGTTTATATTAATATTTTAATAGAATTTTGGATTAATACTAAAAAGGGAGATATTATAATTTTTTAATTATAAAAAAAGAAGCAAATTAAGAGCTTATAGCGATTTACCGGCAATTAAATAGCGACCTTTTTTAAAGCGAACGTTATATTTTTTTTCCGAAATTAATATTATAAATAAAAGGCCTAATTGCGTTAATTTATAACGCTATTAGCTTAGGAGTTATTAGATCCCGATAATTAAAGATAATTAATTTTTTAATTTGCGATTTTTTTAAGGACCGAACGGCGGAAATTTAAATTAAATTTAAATATTAATTTTTAACGCTATTTTTATTATATATAATAACGAAGGAATAGCTATTAAAAAAGCTTACGCGTATATCCGATAAATTATAGTATTATATTTTTATATTATATTAATAAAAAAAGAGCTATTATATAGCTGGATATTAGTATTATAGGCGGCGTTTCGATTTATTAAAAATAAAAATAAACGAATCGTTAAAAACGTATATAAAAAATTTATAAAAAAAAGTTTTTAAAAAATAGCCTATTTATAAACCTTAAACTTAAAGGATAAAATTTATTTAATATATTTTAAACCTCGGAAAAATATTTTCGACCGAATTAATAAGCTAAAAGGTTAGGTTCGGCCTAAAATAGGCTACGCTTATTTTATAAATAATATAAAAGGCTTATATAAAGCAAATTATATTAAAATCGACGTAATTTTATTATAAAGCTATAAACGACTTATAAAAAAAATATAAAAAATAAAGCTATATAATACGAAATAAAATAAAACCTATAAAACGGAAAAATATTCGATTAATCGCTACGGCCGATTATTATTTAGCGAATTTAGTAATTTTTAATTAATAAAATTTAGACTAAAAAAATCGAAGCGATTTATTATTAATTAAAAAGCCGAAAACGGAAAAGGAATTAAAATCGAAATTTAAGCCTAAACCGAAACCTAAAAAAAATAAACGTAAAAAATTTCCCGAAAATAACCCTTAATATATTGCCTATAAGGCAATTAGGCATTATTAACGCAATTATTTTTTTATCCGGAATAACCGCAAGGTTTTTAATTTAAAAAAATAGGAAATCTTTAACTAAAATATAAAAAAAAAAAATTCGGGCTAATATAATAAAAATTCGGGCTTTATACGAGAAAACGGCAAAAAATCCGTTCAAATAAAATTATATAAAAAAATAATCCGATAATATATTTAAAATAAAAAAAACCTTAAAGGGTATAATTAAATAAAATTAAAAATATAATATAATTTTATAAATATAATTAATATACCTAATTATTTTTTAAAAATTCGTTTATCGCTAATATAAAGGCTATTTTTTATATATATAATAACTTTAATAAATTTATTAATTTTAAAACCGCGGCAAATTCGTAATATATTTTTATAAGGAATATTAGGGTTTTAATTAATAAATAAAATATAATTAATATTAAGGTAAATATGCTAATATAGCATTAAAAAACGAAAAACGGCTTTATATATAAATAAGCGAAAATAAATAATATACGATTAATTAATATAATTTATATATTAGGTTTCTATTTTAGCTTAATATCGCTGCCGAAGCTTTAAAAAAAACGAGGTTTTTATTATAATAACCGAAATAATAAATTTATTTAATTTTATAACGAATTAAAGCCGGTAGCTTAAATATAAATAATTTACGGCTTTAACGTTTTAAAATATAAGCCGTTAAATACCCGCGTAATATTAAACTAAAAAAACGAGGCGTTTATTATTATTAACGGAATTTTGTATAATTTAGAAAAAGGGATTAAAAGCCGTTTTTTAAGAGATCCGAAATTTCCGTTAAGCGGTATTATAAAAATTTAGCACGAAAAAATAGGATATTTTTTTTAAAAGGCTTTAGCTAATTTTATTTTAGCGTTATTAGGATTCCGCCTAAAAAAACCGGTAACGTATAAATATAATATATACGGGATAGCAAAAATTTTAAAAATAATTTTTCGACGGGCGGTATTTAATAAATAGTTAATATTTTTTTCGAAATTATATATCGATTAAGAAAATTTATTTAAAAGCTAGGGGGATCGTAAAAAAAATCTTTTAATTAAATAAATAATATTTATTATCGATAAAATTATTAATTACGTAATAGCGTCGGTAACGGTAATTCGAAGCGAAAACGAAAATTTTTTATTATTTATAAATATAATTAATTAAATTATTATTTATAAAAAAGGAAAAATTAAATTTATTCGCTTAAATAGCTGTTGCACGGATGTTAATATAGCATCGTATAA